TACTTTTGAGTTAGGCTACTTATTATTATAGGATGAAAGCTGTTTATTTCTCTTCCTCTGATTAGCCGTGGTAAAGGCCTTGCATACTTTCTTATTTTATTTATTTATTTATTTATTTATTTATATTATTTCTCTGGGAAAGGTCTGGTGGTATCTAACCACCAGTTAGTGGTGAATGGGAGGCTACAGAACTCAACTCACTGGCAACTTCATGCATGCAGATGAAAGCTAGGTTTATGTCTGAAGCAGCATTAGAAATACACCTGAAAAAGTGTTTGAGATCTTAATTTTACTATTATGTCTCCCACCTACGAAACCTATCTTTCAAAGGTCTGAATTCAAAACAAGGTGTTGAAATGAGATGAGGTGTTGCAGCCAGTCAACTCCCCTGTAATCATCAGGAGACACACTTTGAAAACAGCTTGAATCCTCAGCTTCCTTTTCTGCTCAATGTGTGCAGAGTCTGGCAGATGACACATTCATTCAACCCTGTGCTTACTATTAAACACCTTTTAAAAAACAAGCAAAAACACTCTACCATAGTAACACTAACTCCTACTTCCAGTGAAAAGCTATTGCAGTTACAGGGAGGGAGAGCATCAGCTGTGTGGGGGAAAAGCATGTCCTCCTCTGAGTATAGCTGCTGTCAGGATGGTTAGGTGTCTAGCATGGGTGTTTGTGCAGACTGCATTTCAGCACAGCTGGGAGTCCTGCTGCCCACCGAGCCTGTCTAACTGCACAGAGCATAGACTGACTGACACCCTTTAAGGCAAATGTAGAAACTTTGCTGCAAAACCTGATATAGTTTTTGACATTGATGGGTATGAATAGTGAGAAATGTCAGTTCAAGCTGAAAAGCTACTGGTGAAACAGCATCCTCCAAACATATTCCCATGATACCACAGCAGACTTCAGCAGCCTTGATTTTTTTGACACAGAAGCTTGTAGATAAAGGTTTAGATATAGCTTCAAACAGTTGCTGGAAAGGCTATAGCCTGATTTGCAGAGCACATTTTCACTCCTAATGCAGAAAAAGGTTGGTTTTATACTGTCAGATACATAGAATATAATACATATATATATGTATGTGTTAAGGCACATATGTATGTCTGATTTTAACATAAAAGTATGTGGCAACAGGACATGTTGTGAAGTGGTATTCTTTTTCATCACCTCACTTTTCTCTAGCCAATAATCCAACTACATTTGGAAGAGTACAGTAAGGCACCTATTCAAAAAATTACAGATTTTATTTCTTTCCTCAAAATATTTAATTTTATCTTCAAAATTATACTCCCCAGGACTAAGGGTTAGAGGCCTTTATTAGTCCCTAGGCCCAAAAGCCAATGGACTACCGGATACTATGTCATGGGCATGTTACCACAGGATGCCTCATACCAGGTTTTTCCCCAGAGATTTGAGATAAAAGTTGGGGAAAAAAATAAAATAATTAAAAAAAAAAGTTGTGGAGAGCTTTTCTGTCCTGTTTTGGCTGATAAATGAATTCTGTTGGTTTGCACTTTGCATGATTGAGTTTTTCCTGCTCAAATATGCTTGGGGATTAAGTCCTGACCTTTCATGAAGACCTCTGATTTATCAAAAAAGTTTACACAGAAAAAGTTTAACTAATCCTACCTAGTGACATTTTAAGTTATGTTTTTTACATCACTTCTTCTTGTCATTGTTTTTAAGCAATAGACTTTAAGCCCTTTTTAAAAAAATTATTACTGTACTTGAATAGATTCCTAAGGGTAAGAACCTGACCTCACATACAGAAAAAATAAAAAATAAAATTACAGTCTTTGGAAGGCATTTAGAAATTCTTTAAAATATTTGTAAAGCTTTCTTTGTCCGTTTCTTTATTACATCTGTTCCTTACATCCAGCACATTGTAGAATATTACAACAGTTTTACTAGTCAGAGCTTGAGGATATGCAGCACTTACCACAGTTGCTGGTCTTTTTCATTAAAAAAAAACACAAACCTTTTAGCATAAAACTGCCTCCTTTCATGTTGTAGTTATAGTGAAAAGCAAAAACCAGCAGAGATATTTTGTTTGAATGTTAAGAGTAATTTTTTTTTGCTGTACAAGGTCTCATGTCATGACTAATAAGGGGTAACAGGGAATATTACTATCTGACAAGAAATTGTCTCACTCATCCTTTGAGTGGTACTGAGTTATTATTTGTAACAGGGAAATTTTGAGACAAAAATATGAGGTTTATCCTTATTTGTACATTGCCTGATTCACATTGGGTGACTTCACTTAGAGACTACTTCTCCTAAGGTTTTTATATAGATACTTTATAAGGTAAAGTGAAGGTAAAGACATTTTATTGCATGTTTCATGAAAAGTCTAACTTTCATGTGCTGAATATTGTCTTCAGGATGCTGAAAATACCTAAAGCTTCTCAAGAAAATAAATTATTCCCCCCCACCCTTTACGTGTAATGTATCCTTTAGGTTTCCTGGGGTAAGAACAATTCTTTCTCCAACACTTCTTGTAACTTGTTTTTACTGGCCTTGACTAAGTGCCTTTTGAGCACTGTAGAAGCAAAAGGACTGTGTGGAAGTCCATCGCCAGAGGGAATTCAAAGCCACATATTTCATAGAATCACAGAGTGGTTGAGGTTGAAAAGGACCTCTGGATATCATCTAGCCCACCTCCCCTACTCAAGAAGGGTCACCTGTAGCAGGTTAGTCAAGACAGTGCTCCATTGATTTTCAAGTATTTCCAAGGATGATGACCCCACAACCTCTCTGGGCAACCTATGGCAGTGTATGACCATCCCCATGGTAAAAAGTGAAACTTCAACTTATGTTTAAGGGGAATTTCTTTCATTTCTATTTCTGTCCACTGCCTCTTGCACTGGACACCACTGGAAAGATCCTTGGCCCATCTTTTTCATTCCCTTCCATAAAACATTTATATACATTGATAAGACCCTCACAAGCCTTCTCTTCTCCAGGCTGAACAGGCCCAGCTCCCTCCCCATACGTTAGATATTCTGGTCTCTGAATCATCCTTATGGCCCTTCCCCAGGTGCTTGCACAGGGGACCCCAATTTGTATTCCCTACATGAAATGTGACACTACTGGGTATGGACTACCTCTTGTTTTGTGCTGCTGTTTTCTTGGAGTAGTTCGTAAGACTCCTTGAACCTGCAGAGTTAGAGCTGCATTTCTGGTGCCCATCACGTCAGCCATGGTTACTCACTTAGGCTACAGTGGTTTGGTCACAACAATTTTTGTAGCTAGTGAAGCAGTGTAGGTAATACTAAGACCATGTTATCATTCCTGCCATCTCTGACTGAGCATCAGTTCCAGTCTGTCTTCAATGTAGGTCTGTAGATGCAAAACAAAGCCTAAACTTCTCTGATACTATGCAGTGAAAGGCCTTTTAGGACATCTTTCTTTATATTCTGTCTTAGAATATTCTTTTTCATTGTGTTATGCTATAAAAGAATTTATTGCCTACCTGACAATAATATACTGAGGCATTCTGATTTCTCTTGCAGCAAATTAAATAGCTTTGTGAAGTTTATTAGTAACTCTTAGTTGTGTCTATTTTTATTTAATGGTTTATTTTGAAATAAGGTGGCTTCAGTAATTGCATGCAGGTAATTTTTTGAGGGATTAAATTCATATTTTAGTATTTTTTCCCCTAAAATTTCCCAAAGTTGTAGGCTTAAACCACCACAAAGTTTTGTTAAAATATGCCAGTAGCATGACTGGTATTTTTCAAGACACAAAAAGGTGAAAAAAAAATCTGTCCTCAATAGTTTAAGATCAGACAGAATTATTTTATGAATTATGAAATAATCAGAGTGTTTGGATTTTGTACCTTCTCTTCAGTTTCAATTACCTGTAATAGGAATCTTGGTTTTAATTCTCAGTGTGCAGATATCATAGTTTAAAACCACATGCTAATAAAATCCTAAAATGGTAGATGATGTTTCCTTTAATATTTCTATTGGTATATTGAATGGGGTCACTTTTGAACTGGGTCGCTTCCGGGGCAGTACGGATTTCTGTAGCAGGATTGTAACTGCAGTACTAGATTTTGACCACTGAGTGTCAGACACTGAATAATCTTTTGACGCAGTTTGTTTAGCCTTTTCATCCCTTTCTCTCTGCTGCTCAGTGTTAAAGTTATGGCAGATCTTCCTGGCCCTGCTTTAACCAGGAAAAGATCCTGGTTAGTTAATGAATTGAATCCCACACTGAGACCAAAAAAGAAGAAATCTGAGCTTACTAAAAGGAACGCTTTACAACACATGCTACAAAAAAAAAAAAAAGTGCCTTGCTCTGTGCCTTACTGGTGGCATAGCATAGAAGAGAGATTTATGTTACTGATAAGACACAGGCAGTTCAAATCCTGTTATTGGTGTGGCTGTCACAGGCTGGTTGTTCTTCCTCAAAAGGAGAGGGTAGACATGACCATAAACTACTTCTCAGGATTATTCTGGGGTTTATTATCTGGGACTGTGAGATGAGGAGACCCTGCACTGCTTTGTGTCTACCAGGTGGTCACAGATGCCAAACTTACACACCTGGTCTTCCTCTCTAGGTGCTCCTTTTCAGCTTGTTTGCATGATAAACAGGGGGATCTGTCACACTGGATTGCAGGAGGAATGGTAGAAAGGCACAGGCTGGAAAAAAACGCTTGGAAGCGCTGGTAGGGACTGAAAATCTGAGCTAGCGTGCAGTAAAGAGAGGAAGATGACTCTTGCTAGGAGCAGAGGGAGAAGCTGAGGTGGCAAAGGGTGGGTATGAGGGAATACAGGGGTGGGGGACATAACTAAACTGTGTCTACAGTGGGTGCGGAAACGTCAGCTTTACTTCAACTTATGCATAAGGAAAAAGACAGGTCTGTGCAACAAAGCTTGCTGTGTGGAAACATCTAAATCAGCATTGTCTGTGCAACCTTAAGTCAGCCACTACCAGATGTGAAGTCTCTAGCAACGGCCACTGATATTTTGTCTGCAAGATCGTCTCAGGATCATCACTTGGACAACTAGGTGGGATGTCAATTTCTGTTGCAGAGCTAAGACATTATGCTACATGAGTTATACCTATGAATTTTTTTCTATGTTTATCTGTTGCATGATGATGTAAAATGTTAAACACTTTTCAAAAGCACCTGAAGAACAATCAACTAAATTGCACCCAATAACCCCATGCCTCAGCTTACCTTCTGTGAAGTGCCCTTGCTCTCATCTCTGGGGCATACCAGAGAGACAAATTCATAATGGCTGTGGAACAATCGTTGTAAAATACATCATCACAGAAACTTCCAGCAGGTAATGAATACCTTTCTACTTGATAAAACATTGGGCTGTAGCACTCCAAATAATACCTGAACAATCACTTGAAAGAAAGAACACAAAAAGAATTAATAACAGATTGCACATCAGCTATTCTGCACACTGAAAGAGTCTGGGATATGATGCTGTGGCCATGTCACAGTATGTACTGTATGTCACACAATAAAGTATTTCATCTCACAAAGCTCATAAACAAAACAGTTGGATGAAATTTGGACAGGGAGTTTTTTTCCTATTGTAAAGCACTGAGTGCTTCAATTAATTTTCTTAGTTTGTAATGTCACAGCCCAATTGTGTGAAGACATCTTTTGCTTTTCTAAGAACAGGGTGTTGGTCAGTTTGCTCTCCAAGAGAAGAAATGTTTCTGACATTGCTCTCTTCATTATGAATCTTTCTTCTTCTTTTCCCCATCTACCAAACACTAGATAAGTCACTTTTAGAAATGCAGGCTTTCTATTTTAACCTGGTTTATGCAGCACTTTCATTACATTTCAGTCCATTGTAATCTGATCACATATATAATTGCCCACTGAGGCTCACTACTTCCAAGAAGTATGAGTAAGATGTCATTATGTGCATCTAATACAAAGCCCTAGAATTTTTACTCAAGAAGGAATAGTATGACCTGGCCTGGGAACAGAATAGTAAATATTAAACCTTAAAAAACAATCTACTGGGTTTATGGGCTGTAAGCCTTCAAGCTAGTAGGAGAGGACAGAAAGAAATACTGCTGGACTACATGTTTATTTCCCTGGTAAGAAAACTTTTTCATATAGTCTGCTGCCCATCTGGAGGCTCGGTGTGCTTACTTTATTCACGTGGTTTTGTGGCCTCCTGCTGTATAAGACAGTTTGCTTTTTGCCTTGGCTCTCCTTGTAAAGGACTTGCTGCTTAGTGCAAGGTAGAGTGAAAAATACCCTGTGCAGTCCTCCTGAAGACAATGACCCTCTGTTGCACAATCTATCTAGCTTCCTTTGGGAAAGAGAAGGGAGCTGGGGCAAAATGTAAACCTTAAAATAGAGAAAATAATTATCCAAATAGTAGAAAATTTAATTAGATAGGAACATGGCCTTAATGGCAAAAGCCTTGCCTGCTAGCACATCTTCTAACTTGGGTGGTGCTGCAATTCACGTCTCTGTTTGCAATGGGTACAATGGAAAGGTGAGCAGTAGTCCAAGGGTAGAAGCAGATTATGTAGACTTTTAATATTTGAGAATGAATTTCATTTCTTCATGTCACAGGATGTCTGCTTTCAGCAACAGGCTATAGAGCTAATAGTAAAAAGCTTGCATCTTGCTTCTGGTTGGGATAAGCAGGACTCAATATTATATGTATGCAGCTGGCTTTTGTTTTGGACCTGCAACCTATTGGACCTCACTGAGCTTTATCTCAAGATTTTGGTGGTATGGAAAAGGCGATTCAGACCACTGTCCAGAGGGTGGCACACTTAAACCAGTGGTGGGGAAAATTGTTGTCTCCAACTTCCTCATACCTTAAAGGTCACATCTGGCTAGAAGTTCTGCTGCTCTCTGCAAAGTTGCCTGGGTCCGTGAGAGCAAAGAGCTCTTTGGAGACAGGAGTGCAAATAGTGGAAGCAGAGAACACAATAAACCCTAATCAGTTTAATCTGGAGACTGTTAGTCTCTGTGGACTATTTGTAAGAGATCTCAAAGGAGAGCTTAAAAAGGCAGCTTTATTGCCTGGAGGCTTGACAGAAGTTAGCACCTCTCCTTGAAAAGCGCAAGTCAAAAAGGATGAAAATTGCTACATCTAAACCATGAATGAATGAGTTTGGTGGAGGAATTACTAGGGAAAAAGAATTACATACTGCTGTGCAAGAAGACAAGCCTAAAGAGGTCCCTGTTGGCCTTTCCATACCTATGAAGATGCATTTTTTTTCAGTCTTACAGTAATCGTGAAAATCATAATGAAGTTGTTGAGTGAATTCTTTTGGTTTTGAGCCATTTTGCTTTGTAGCATGGGAAAAGCCAAATTAACCTCTGATACTTAAGTACTGTGGACTGCAAAAAGCTCCTTGAAATAGTATGAATTCTGCCTAATAATATTCAGCCTGTAGTGAATCCTCTAGGTATGGTTGTCTGTTTTTCAGGTAGGTAGTTGAGTAGAGGGTCTGAAGTGGCTTTCTCTGAGGTTAGATGGAAGGTCACATGGTGGTGTAGGAAAAGAATACAGGCAGACAGGCTGAGTTTGACAAATGTGCAGAATACTACTTCTTAGGGAAAGAATTCTTTCCCTCAGCAAAAGTGAGCCAGGACTAGAAATGACCTACCCTGGATTTGAGGGCTTGCAAGGAGCCACCTGAAGGGTATGTTGTGAAGGTAGGAGGAAATAGGAAGGGTGACTGTGCCACCTTTCAAATAAGCTTGGTGGCTGGAGTGCCAGTGGTGGTTGGACAGCTTGTGAGATCCCCAGTGGGGATTTTCTATCTCCTCCAAGCTATTTGTGGTGGGCCACTTTCTGAATACTGTGTGTGCACACCAAGCTCCTCTGGCACCCTGTGGGCAATGGAGCCCACTTGGAGGTGCCAAAGCACCAAACTAGAGGGCAATAAGGTGACCTTGTCTGCTGATGGGCTGGTAGCCTCTGGCAAATCTCTTTAGTTTGGGCACTGAGAAGGGTACTGTACTGGGGGGTAAACTGTACGCCTTGTAACACCCAGCAGCACTGCTAAAGGATATTTAGTACCTTACAGTGAATGCCGGCTACCCATAGCAGGGAAGCAATCAGCATCTTATTGTCTTGGGCAGCCATCTGCTGGAAGAAGGGCTGATTTACCCTGACCAGATTCTCCTACTTGTTTTATTTGACTTCCTGTATTGTTTTTAATTTTGAAAATTTTCATCTGCTCCCATTCAATCTTCCTCAGCTGGTGAACAAACCAGCACAGAAAAGCAAGTGAAGGTAGTTAACGTCAGGTCAATTAAAATGTGTTTAGATATTGATTTTTTAAACTTTAAATTCTTTGTGGTGTAGATAAGTTCCAAAACAAAAGTTGTCTTCAACTTTGTAATAAAATTATTTGATGCTAAACCCCATAAAAATAAAATCTTAGAGCAGTTTCACGATTGGAAATCTTTCTGAGATCAGAAAACTTATAAAACAATTTTCAGGCTCAGCTCTATTTAATATTTTCTAAACAAACTTAAAGTTGTTAACAGCCTCTCAACTACCTCTGCCCACATTTAGCAGCCAGGATTAGGATTTTTTTTTCCTAGTAAGTCTTGCTGCTGAAGATGAGATACCAAGTGGCAAGAAGTTGCTGGCAGATGTGTATTGTGGCTCACAAGAGTTTTTATTAATATGAAGTTCCTGCTAACCGAGATTACCAGAATATAATTCTCATTTACAATATATCCTGCCACTTTCCACAATAGAGCCCACGCCTGAGCAAAGGTAACATGCAGAAATACCACAAAGTTGTCACAATGCGCACACAGTCAGCCAGACAGGCTAGGACAAAAATGGCTTATTTTGCAGTCAGTTAATTTGAACAGAAAAATATCTATTTTGGTTTGAAATCTAATCAAGTGTTTAAGACAGTTCTGTTTGGAAAGGGCAGATGATTTTCACTTTGAATTGCTTCATTTCAAAATCTCTGCCAAATTATCTTGCTGGCAAGACAGAGCCACCTGGCATTTTTGAATGGCTGCTGGGGGTGGCTGCATGCCAAAAATTTGCCAGACTGCAGCAATTAGTTTTAAAGAACTTGGCCTATGCTGTTCCTTCTCTGTGCAATGCCGTCAGGTCCCCCAAGACAGGCAGATTCCTTCACGCTTATTAGGAGGGGCACATGGCTTTTGAAGTTAGGGTGAATGCTTTTGAAGCAGAGGTTTTGACCACCAGAAAGTAACGTGGCAAATGGCACAAGCATTCCCAGGAATCTCCTTTCTTTTTGCCTTTAGTTTTCCACTTCAGAGGTATTTGTTTGTTGAGAGACAGAGGTTGTGTGTAGCTGCCTCTGAGTTGTGTGAAGTAATTACACTTCTGCTTGTGTGGATGACAGCAGAGACAGAGACACATGTCCCTGGAAGGAAATGTTCAGCCTATAAATTATATGTACTATTTACCACAAGGTCTTTTACTGCTCCTTACCTTTGCAATCCAGGACCATTTCTGAGATACAAAATGAGTTCTGTGTTTTGGCTTTGAAATGACAAAAAAATTTTCTCATCAGAAAAAATCATAGAATCATAGAATCAATCGGGTTGGAAAAAAACTAAGCTGGTCGAGTCCAACCCCAGGATTGCCAAGTCCACCACTAAGCCATATCACTGAGGGCCTCATCTACATGGTTTTTTGAACACTTCCAGGGATTGTGATTCCACCACTGCCCTGGGCAGCCTGGTGTTTCAATGCCTGATTACCTTCTTGGTGAAGAAATTTTTCCTAATATCAAACCTAAACCTCCCCTTGCACAGCCTGAAGCCGTTACTTCTTGCCCTATCACCTGTTACTTGAGAGAAGAGACCAACACTTACCTTATTACATCCTCCTTGCAGGTATTTGTCGAGAGCGATAAGGTACACCCCTGAGCCTTCTCTTCACACGAAACAACCCCATCCAGCCAGTTTCCAGCCCAGTGAAGAATCCACTTATCCAGGCAATGAGCAGCCAGTTTCTCCAGAATTCTGTGGGAGACAGTGTCAAATACTCTACTAAAGTCCAAATTGACAATGTCCACAGCCTTTTCCCCGTCAATCAGGTGACCAAACCTTATTGTAGAAGGAGATCAGGTTGGTCAAGCAGGACCTGCCGTTCATGAACCCATGCTGACTGGGCCTGATCCCTCTGTTTTCCTGCACGTATTTTGTGATCTCACTGTCAATGATCCCTTCACATTTAGCTTAATTACCTTTCTAAGAAATGGTCTGTCCTCTAGGTGTAAGTGCTGAAGAGATGCCTCATCTGGTTTTAAATGCAGCTGAAGCACAGTTTGTTCTGACTCCACAGCGTAG